GGAAGTAAAGTTATTTATTTTACTCTAGATGTAAAATATACCGGAAGGTACAACTTCACACTGCATCATCTTTTCTCAAATCATTAGTCTCTAATATGATACCACTTTGTACGCTTATGTAAAATGCTGTATATAGTTTCTCCTCCCGTTTACTGTGTGACCGATCGCTCTTTTTATCAATGACCTCATCTGAATAAATGTATATAAAAGATTTGTGCAAGTTTCATGAAACTGGAACTCAGAGTCACTTCTTGTATAGGACACTGCTAAGTGTAGGCTTTGAAAAAGGACCCTTCTTTGGGGAGTTGTTTCTTCTTTCACAGTGCAATGATGCAACATGTTTTTAATAGAAATGAATGCCGAAATAAAGTATAACAGGGTACCCAAATTTTAAAAATATCGAAGGTGGTGTTTTTTTTTTATTCGCATTGGACTTTTTCTTTGTTTGATTTTTTTCCCATGTTTGCCTAAATATATTGTAACTATTGTGTCACTCAGATACCTTATTTATTTTTTCAATAATAGCCATATATTAGTAAAATAATGTCTGCAAGTTATGTAATAATGATTAAATTATTTCATGAGATACAGATTTCCAAAGTTTGCCATTTGTCGTTCGAGCAGGCATGTTTTGCAATTTTTAGAAAACTAAATAAATTTTTAATTAATATTATTACTTTATATTACAAGCAAGTTGTACCCATAGTTTGTTTGTAAAAAGTTTTAAAATTCTCCTAATTTTATTGTTTTAATTATTCACTTTCAAACTTGCCCCCTCCATCAGTGCGCGTTATTGCAACTGTCCACCTCTCCCTGCCTTACGATTTTTCTTGTCTCCAAATTTTTTTTCTGGTCAAAACTAAGTGTGGATTCGTTTATACCAGACACTAGAAAATGTCATATAAAAACATCAGTTGATTTAAAAATGTCGACCAGCCACCCTTTGGTCGATCTTATCTGAAATCACCCTTGTTTGGAACGGATGTCTCTCTCCCTCTCGTCTCCGGAGCTCACCCGAGACTTTGGCGCTTAGGCCTAGCGTTCGAGACCTACTGCTCGACAGCACAGCGGTCACTCGTGATTGGGTGGCGCACGCCCTCCCCTGCTGCCTTCCCGTTCATCAGTGCCCCTGCGTGTTCTGCCCCACGGTCGAGAACAGCGATCTTCAATTGGATGTTTAATAGGAAAACTGGCCGGCCCTTGAATGCAATCTTGGAATTCTTAGGATGCATAGAGCCCCAAAGAGCGAGTTACGACAATAAATAGACGATCTCAGAAATTCATTTGAGTGCCCTTTTAAGTCGGTCATTGACACGTGATCGACATAAAAAATGCAGTTCTTAGACAGCTCCTAGTCTTTCTTACTTCCTCTGCCGCGTCGTCATTTGGCGCCGTTTTCTCGTTTTAATGCATCACCAACTCGTCCAGATTTATACGCTTCTACAGTTGGACCCAGCCCAGCTGGTTGAGCACTGTGAGTGTATCTTGCGTCTTAACGCATTGCACGTCGCACGTCATTACTCCGGACAGTAACCTTAGGCTTTTACGGCGTTGCATATAGTAAAGGTATACCAGCGCGTAAAACCGAAGACAAAGGAAACAAACACACACCACAGGATGAGCGCTGACTCTCAGCTAGATGTTTAATAGTGATATTACAAAGCACAATGTAGCGTTATTAAAAAAATACATTTGTATTTCGAAAATGAGGGGTTTTGCAGAAGCGTTCCCGAAGGAAAAATCCATCAATGTAACCCTGTTTGGCAGTCAATGTTTTCTAGTGGACCGCTGACTGTGCCTGACTGTACGTCAAACATGTCTGATTGGCCAACAAGTTACTCTGACCGAGAGTCAAACTCCAGTCAGACTCTGCTTGTCGGCTTTCTGATGGTTTCCTGGTGGCAGTCGGCCGCCGCGAAATTCCATCAGGATGTCTTGGTGGCGATTCTGACTGTACATCGATTGTCTCTGACTGTACGTCAAAAAGCTTTGACGTGCAGACAGACGTATACGGTCAAAGGACGTAAAGTTCGTTCGGACACCACTATTTCGTCAAATCTATGAATACGAAAAGTAATCTATGCACGAGAAAACGATTTCGGGACGTGAGCTTATAAAACCGCTGACGTTAGATATTTGACACGCAACCGACCGACAACCTTGATCAGAAGCCCGCCGAAGCGCCGAAAACGACACTTCGCTTCGCCCATAGAGGCTTCGCCGCTTCGCCGCTTCGCCGAGCTTTCATGAACGATCGCTCTCGACTCGTTTTGTTTGCCCGCTTGCTCCAACCTGTCGATCCTGCCAGGGTTCTACAATGTCTTATGTTTTAGTAGAATTTCTACCCGACAAGGCCCAGCCTGTTGTGAGTTCCGACGATGTAAGGGACTTTAGCGGTGTAGTTAAAGACGACAAGGTGTATCAGGTCTACTAGGCCGGTGACGCGCGAACAAAAGGATCGTTCTACGACGCGAAAGTACTCTACATGGCAGGTGAGTAGAACTGAAGTACGGCGAGTGATGTACGAGTGCTTTGCATAACGTGCTGACGGCTTAACTGCATTTGCAGCCGAAGCATCTCGTATAAAATTATTAGTGAAATCTGGTTTCAGAAACGGTCCTATAGCATAGCGGTTAGGGTGTGCGATTTGTACGCAAGTTCTCGCGGGTTCGAATCCGTGGTTGTCCTGCTTTTTTTTTCTTTTTTTTTCTCGAACATTTTGTTTTATCGAGGCATTTGGCGATATTTATGAGTGCGTATAGCTTTACTCTTATATAAATGCTGCCCTTGTTGATGAAATTCCCTTGGCAGTGGCAGTCAGACGTCATCTGATGGACCATCAGATGACGTCTGATGGTCCATCACGTTCCACCAAGGCTGCTGACTGGCAGTCAGTGTCCCAAATTACGTACCTTGACGGAATTTTCAATAGGGCTGATAGCGGGCCCTCCGATGTGATGAGACAATTTGGTATGGCGTGCGTGGTTGAGTATGTCTTCTTTCTGTTTAAATGTGGTTTTGTTATCACTATTAAACATTTAGTTGCGAGCCAGCACTCGTCCTATGGTGTGTGTTCCCTTTGCCTTCGTTGTTGCGAGCTGTTACACCTATACCATGTTTAGCTTCAACCAACTAGCCCCAATCTACATTGTCAGGGCATTGAATACGCTCCGTCGGGTCTTATCGTATCGTGAGAAAAAAAAAAACAGTATTTTCTGATGAATTGTAAACATGACTAAAGCTTGAGACTATGAAAGGAGAAGGAAGACACCAAGAAACAACATTCACACACACTCTTTCTGACACTGTTAGCAGTGTCAGACACACGTTGTGCGTGTGTGTATTTGTATATGCCTTCCATCTGCCGTAATCTAAGATTTTATCTAAATGCTTAAAATATCTTTGTACTAATTTACTCACCTTTCAGATCGAACCCTGAAGCTCATGTTTTTTAGTTCAGTTTTATTGTTCGCTAAAAAAAATATTTCACACATTTTCTAAGATGGAAATCTTGTAACGGAGGGGAAACATTTTTATTAGTATTGGTCCCCTTTTCACTAATGTAACTGCAGAAGTGATATTGGCTGAGAGATTTTGTTCTGTTACCTGTTGCATGAACAGTACAAGGAAACATGAAAATTATATATTCCTAAAACAGGGACCAAAACGCCCGAGAGTAATGCCCTTGGCCTTTATCTAGGCTGGCCCTGGAAACATGGCTGCCATAGTCCTTTACTCATTGGTTTCACCACGCAGTGCTGTAACTGCAGCTGGTTGACCGTCAGAAAGCTTCTATTTATGGTCCATAACGTAGTTGTGATTACACGACCGCACAACGGTACAATGCTCCTTGATATGAAAATGACGTGGGTTGACGCACCACGAGCACAGAGCTCACAGAGAAAAAAATCCCGTTATAGAACCTATAGCGAGGTAGGATGCAATCCGCGCACCTGCTGTCTCTAATATGGACGGGTATGGGAGCGGTGCATGGTCGTGTAATTATTACTGCTGATGAACATTAAAAAGCTCAGGTCAGTAGTTGAGTACTCCGCTGACTAGACTGGATCACCGCTGGATCGATCTTTCTATATCTCGAAGACACATGGACCTCTCGCTCTATAATCGTCCACTATGTCCATTTTGCCTTTTGCCGCTTGTCATAAGGTGTCATACAAATGTGAATTTGAAGAAAGTGCCATATAGCTCTTTTTTCACTTATATACTTTCACTGGCAAATGCACTATGCTAATCAAGAAATGCCTGAAAACAAGGTTTTATTTTATTCCACACAAAAAAATGTAGCGCTTGTCCTTGTTTTTTTGCGCTACCTTTATTTGTACAATGTACAACCAACTACCTCGTCACAGGATTGTAGCGTATTTTATTTAGTCGAAATACCCACATGGGACGTAAAAGAATTGGGGAGTTCGCTTTCTCCACTGAAGAAACTCAATTTTCGTTTTCTTGTATAGCCATCGCACCTGACGCAATCCCAATAAACATCGTCATCTTCTGTTTTGGTTTTGTCAAAACATGGCGTTCGGCTCGTTCCTCGCGGCGGAGTTCTAACATTTTGGTGCCGAAACCCGGGATGACAACGATAGTCACGACGGAATGACGACGGGGCATCCACCCGCAACGAAACGAGCCAAGGGACGCCACAAGAGAGCGAGCTCCAACGACGCTACCGACGTTATCACTCAACGAGGCCTAGTGACGTCGCAACGAAACGCGCCAAGAAAACGCGCCAAGGGACGCCGCAAGAGAAGAGCTCCAACGACGCTACCGACGTTATCACTCAACGAGTCAAGGGACGCCGCAAGAGAGCGAGCTCCAGCGACGCTGCTGACTTTACTCAACGAGGCCTAGTGACGCCGCAACGAAACGAGCCAAGGGACGCCGCAAGAGAGCGAACTCCAACGACGCTACCGAAGTTCTCGCCCAACGAGGCCTAGTGACGCCGCAACGCCAGCAACGCCGCGAGACGCAGAGACGCCATGGAACGACTAAAGCAGAAGCGGACGGCTCTGAGGTCTCAAGTAACGAGGCTGATCTCCGACATCGACGCAGCTATCGCAAGCCACTCCGACGAGCGAAGCCTCAACGTATTATCGGTGAGGCTCAGTGAGTTGCGAATACAGCTGAGCAACGTGAACGCATCCATCGAACCACTGGTACCGGACGGAGACGTTGAGCAAAACTACGCCCGCACGATTGAATATGACGACAAGATCGTCGCGTACATCGCCACCATCGCACAGGAGGTAGAGGAACTCCGACGAGCGAGGCCCCAAACCGGTACAACGCGGATTCACAACGACGGCGACGGACACGTTGCAACCTCTAAGGTGAAGCTGCCGAAACTGGAGCTTCAACGGTTTGGCGGTGCAGCTACCGATTGGCAACCCTTCTGGGAACAGTACAAGCAAGCCATACATGACAACGACAGCCTCTCTAACGCTGAGAAGTTCTTGTACCTGCGGTCGGCGCTTACGGGAAAGGCAGCATCGGCGATAGCCGGCATTCAAGCAACGGGAGAAAACTACGATACCGTCGTTGAGCTTCTCAGGGAGCGCTTCGGTCGGACTGACGTTCTCATTCAAGAACACCTCTCCCAACTACTTGATTTGCCAGCAGTACGACACTCAAGCGAGGTGAGCGGATTGCGACGTCTCTATGACCACTTGCAACGTAATATGGCCGCTCTCACCGCGCTCGGGGTGAAGAGCGACACTTACGGAGCTATGCTCTGCTCTGCACTACTGAGAATGCTGCCGGGAGAGTTAGTCATTGATTACCACAAGTGTCGACGTCTTACAGACAAGGAAGACGACTGTATCAAAATAGAGAGCCTACAACGCTTCCTTAAGCTCGAAGTGGAGAGCCGTGAAGAGGCTCAACAAGCTCGTCAGCGAGAAGCCAAGGGTATGAGCCATACCAAAATAACAGAAGGTGGAAAGGCTTCTCTGAAGGGATCAGCCGCTGCTCTTTCCTCAACTAGTCGCTCCAAGCAGACTGAACCGTGCGCATTCTGTGCCACGAAAAACCACGCTACACGAAATTGTCAGACATCAATTTCTCTGGAGGAGAAGAAGCAAAGATTTCGAGAAGCAGGACGATGTTTCCGGTGTTCAATCAAGGGACACACCTCCAAAGAATGTCGCAACAAAAGAATAATGTGTGAAACATGCGGGCGAAGGCACATAACTCAAATGTGTGACCCATCCTGGAAGAAGAGTAAGAACACCGCAGCAGAGTTACACTCTTCAACTGGCAGGAAGAGCGATAAAACACCTGCTGTACTACTTCAAACAGCTCAGGTCTGGGCGGAAGGGAAACAGCAAAGAGCTCTCACGCGCATCCTTTTTGATGGAGGAAGCCAACGAACCTTTGTGATGGAAGAACTTTCACGTAAGCTGCAGCTCGAGGTTGTTGGTGAAGAAGACATTACTATCTACCCTTTTGGAGGAGCAGGAAACATCATCAAGGAAAAACGCAGAAGGGTACGAATCTGGCTAAGGAGCCAGTACAGCCAAAAGAAGCACTGCCTAGAAGCTCTGGAGATACCAGAGATTTGCTCCGATCATCTTCTTCTACCTGAGAGTGTAGTGCAAGGAGTCCAAGTACAGATAGCTGAGCTGGCAGACGTCACCTTGCCACCAGCCCAGTTAACAAGACATGGCATTGACATTCTTATTGGTGCTGACTACTATTGGACTCTTGTCTCTGGTGAGGTCCAAAAAGTGCAAGACGCTCTAGTCGCTGTCAAAACAGACTTTGGATGGACACTTCAAGGACCGATTCCCCACAGCGGTTTGACTGCCTCCTGTTCTACTGCGGCAGTTCTGAAGGCCAATGTGGGTGGAAGCACATGCTCATTGTCTACCGAGCTCCGGTCATTTTGGGAGCTGGAAAGCATGGGCATCACCGATCCTAACCTCCCACAAAAGGAAGAGGAGAATGAAGTTGTCAGAGCATTTACATCATCCATCAAGCTAACTACCGGACGGTATGAGGTGGCCTTACCTTGGAAGCCAATGAACCTTCAGCTGGCAGACAATGAAGGAGTTGCAAGGAAGCGTCTGGTGAGCCTCACAAAGAAGTTGCTTAGGGACGATGTGATGCTGACTGAGTATGATCGGACAATTCGCCAGTATCTCCAGCAAGGATTTGCGGAAAAGATTTCCCCGAATGCAGACAAGGCAGAGAACCGAGTGTACTACATGCCTCACCGTGCTGTGTTACGACCTGACAGCCTCTCGACCAAGGTCAGAGTCGTGTTTGATGCGTCGTCAAGAGAACCAGGGTGTCTGTCTCTGAATGACGCACTAGAGCCAGGACCAAACCTGAATCCAGACCTCCTGAAAGTGTTACTGAACTTTCGGATTCATCGTATCGGCCTCAGTGCAGACATTGAGAAGGCATTTCTACAGATATCACTGAGACTGGAAGATCGTGACGCTCTGCGATTTTTCTGGTACGAACGAATGCCAACGAAGCAAGAGCCGAACCCTCCTGTAGAGGTTTGGAGGATGACAAGGGTTCCTTTCGGAGCGACGAGTAGCCCGTTCCTTCTCGCAGCCACGCTACGTCACCACTTGTCGATAACAGAGGACTATCCGGAAACAACGAAATCACTAGCCGAAAGACTCTACGTCGATGATCTTATCACCGGAGCGAACACCGAGGAAGAGGCGGAACAGTTCTATCGACAAACATTACATGTCATGAAGCTAGCCGGAATGACAATGCGGAAGTGGAACACAAATTCTACGGAGCTGCAGCAGCTATTCAACAAGGAAGGAACCGGGTGTGTTCTAGATCAAGTAGAGTGTACCACCCCTAGCGTTTCTCGAGTGTTAGGACTTGTCTGGGACAAAAACAGCGATTGCCTGGCGTTCTCCATGGGGCCTGTTTTGGAATTCCTAGACCGGAACTGCAACACGAAACGATTCATTCTCCAGGCATCATCTCGCATTTATGACCCATTAGGACTCCTTTCCCCAGTCACCGTGACAGCCAAGCTGATGTTCCAAACCCTCTGGGAACTGGGTGTCGACTGGGACGCGCCACTACCTGAAGAGGTTCAAACAAGATGGACGCAGTGGCATACAGCACTGCACCACTTAACGAAAGTAACAGTACCCCGAAGGTACGTTGAGCTTCCTGAGGATGACCGAAATGAAGTCCACATATTCACAGATGCCAGTCCCAAGGCTTATGGGGCTGTGGCGTACCTGTGCACGCAGACTGCACCAATGAGGGTGACTTTGGTTTTGTCCAAGACCCGGGTGGCGCCGCTAAAGAAACTTTCTCTCCCAAGACTTGAACTGATGGGAATGGTGATAGGGGCACGGCTAAAGGACTACCTTACTAGGTCGTTGAACCTACAAGTTGCCAGCTGGTACCTCTGGACAGACTCAACAATCGCACTACATTGGGTGCGAGCTTCTGCTCAGCAGTGGAAGCCCTTTGTGGCCAATCGAGTATTGGAGATCCAACAGCTGACTGATCCAGAGCTTTGGAACCATTGTCCTGGACTAGAAAATCCGGCTGATCTGCTCACAAGAGGGGTGACACCCGAAGCACTCAAGTCGAGTGCGGCATGGTGGAACGGACCGCCATGGCTCACGGAGCCACCTGCTGCCTGGCCAACGCATGAAGCAGGTGTTGATATGACCGCGGCTGATGAAGAGAAGAAACAAGTTCGAGTCCATAGCGTGACACTGAAAGAAGAACAGGTTTTGCCTATGCAGCGCCACAGTTCCCTCTCGAAGCTTGTTCGAGTTGTTGCCTGGATACGACGATTTATACATAACTCTAGACATCCCAGCCAAAAACACGAGGGTTATTTGACGACCGAAGAGGTAGCACAAGCTCAAACGTGCCTGATCCTGCAGGTTCAACAGGAGGCGTTTCAGAGAGAGCTCCAATGCGTTCGACGCTCAGCCCGCATGGAAAGCAACTCTCCGTTACGGGACTTAAACGCATACCTGGACAAGGACGGGGTGCTGAGGGTCGGAGGACGCCTCAGTAACGCTGACATGTGTGACAATGCAAAGCATCCCATCATTCTTCCATCAAGTCATCATTTTACCGAGCTTTTAACCAATGCCACGCATCGACGACTTCTCCACGCTGGCCCCCTTGAGACTCTGACAGAACTGCGGGAACAGTTCTGGGTCGTTCGAGGAAGACAGATGGTAAAAAGGGTGCTGAAGAAATGTGTGATCTGTGACCGTGTCAACAGCCGAGCGGCCACCGAGCCAGTTGCTCCACTCCCTCGAGACAGAGTAACCCAAGCGGCCCCCTTTGAGGTGACTGGTGTGGACTTCGCGGGACCACTCAACACAAGGAATAAAGGCAACGACAAGAAGTCTTACATCCTCATTTTCACCTGTGCCGTTACCCGTGCCATTCACCTCGAACTAGTGACCGACATGTCCACCCCCCATTTTCTGATGGCCTTCAGACGATTTGTGTCAAGAAGAGGAGTGTGCAGAGTCATCTTTTCTGACAATGCAAAAACGTTTCAGCGTGCTTCAAGGGACCTGAAGAAACTGTGGACCACGTTGCGTGGAGAGGAGATACAAGCCTACTTCGCTGATCGGCAGATACAGTGGAAGTTTATAATTGAGAGAGCTGCCTGGTGGGGTGGGTTCTGGGAAAGGATGGTCCGGTCGGTGAAATCCTCGCTCAAGAAAGTTTTGGGTAACAGCTACTGCAACTTCGAAGAGCTGACGACCATCTTAACTGAAATTGAGGCTGTTATTAACTCAAGACCTCTGACATACGTCTACACCGAAGCCACCGAAAAGGAACCACTCACCCCTTCCCATTTTCTGGTGGGAAAGCGTTTAACTGCACTTCCGACCAGCTCCAGCGTGGAGCCTGTGCCTCCCCTTGAAGGACAATACAACAGGCGGTGGCGTTACCGTCAAAGGATGGCAGATCAATTTTGGCGTAGATGGAAGAGGGAATACTTGACCAGTCTGCGATCTGCTCATTTCACGGTGCCGACTTCCTCCAGTGCCCTGAAGAAAGGAACTCTAGTGTTGGTTCACCAACATCTCCAACCTCGACAACTTTGGAAGACGGGAGAAGTCGTAGAAGCATTGACTGGACGAGACGGGCACATACGAGCTGCTATGGTGCGTCTTCCTAATGGTAATATTGTTAGGAGACCCGTACAACTTTTATACCCCATGGAATCTATTTATTAATGACTTAACGTCATTGTGGGGGAGTGTGAAGAAACTCAATTTTCGTTTTCTTGTATAGCCATCGCACCTGACGCAATCCCAATAAACATCGTCATCTTCTGTTTTGGTTTTGTCAAAACATGGCGTTCGGCTCGTTCCTCGCGGCGGAGTTCTAACATCCACAATGTCGGGCTACGAGGTTATTCACTTGCCTCACACTAGTGAAATCGGTAAGATTTATTGGCTTGTTTCCACTAAAAAAGAAGAAAACCCAAAACTTTTTGCATTCCACTGTGTCTTGTGATCAATGGTGATCTAGGAGATAGGTTCCTGCAACTTCACTATATCATTACTTTCTTTATGCCATCATGTAACAGGACATCCTTGGAGTGCTCTCCCAAAAGCCAGAACGTGTGCATTAGGCCCTTCCCCTGGAATAAAAAGAAATACGTCAAAGTCATACAGCTTCAGGTTTTCGTAGTGCCAGTTTAAGCGTTCCTTTATTTTTAAGCACAGAGGCAATGAAAAGCGCCACTAAAATGTATTGTATACTCAAAACGTTATTTCGTTTCAGAGCAAAAAAAAAAAACAACAAAAAAACTAAGCACTTTTTTTAATGAGCCATGTTTTTATTACATTTATATCCGCCACCAGACATCATCTCACAAAGAAGAGCAAAATGTGCCGCAGATTTTGTTTTTGAGTCTGCATGGCAGCTAAGGAAATCTTGGGTACTTTTGCTATACACGTTCACCCTTAAACTGAGACTAGAAACTCCGCCTTCAGTGCGAGCTTTCTAGCCTTGGTAACACAAGTATGAATGCGTAGGCACGCCCAACGGAAGCACTGCGAAGCCAGCGAGCTCGCGCTGGAGGCGGAGCTTCTAGTCTCAGCTTAAGCGGTGAACGGAATGTATGCAGAGTTAAGAGGCTTCGTTTTTTAGGGCATGTAGAAATAGCGGAATGCTTACAATATTTACCAAATTCCAAGTGGCCCTCACAAACGAGCAAGATTATTTTTTAAGAATACCAGTTATGTTTTTACAGACGCCCAACCATGACCACTCATAAAATATATAGCTGTCAGCTTCCCTTAGTAGAAGCTGAAGCATAAGACTAAATATATTAAAGAATAGATACCTGAATACGTGCCTAATGACTTCTTTGATAAACCCTTCGTATACATCGTGCTCTCCTTTTCTTACAGCTGTCAACGCTTACCCACATTATGGTGCCTGAAACGCGTGTCAGACTGGAGTGTCTGCCGCGTCCTAAAAAGTGGCCCCTCGTTTCGCCTGACGACGTCATGGAAGTGACCTTGCAAAAATAGGTATGGACGTCCCGTGTCCACACTAGTGCCATTCTATTACCTTTATGTCTATCCTATGAATTCTTGTAGACAGTTGATGGACCACTTATTAACCGCTAGTTTGCCATAAAATGGCCATAACAACGATATTAAGATCTCCCGATACAAAAAAAACAAAAAAAACATTTAAGTTTTTTTACTCTGGTAAAGGAAGGCCAGCGAAGCTGTACTATGGTGGGAACGAATTAATGGCCGTCCGCAAGTCAGCAAGCGAGAGTGGAAAAGCTCGAAAGTTTGCCGCCGTCGCTCATAGATGGCGGTAGCTGTCCAGAGTTCTGTGTCATCAGGTCATTTGAGAACGGACACGATCCTGGGGAAACTAGCCCTTAACAACTCCGCTGTAAAACGTTTTTCATTCCATGCTATGGGCCCGGTGAGTCAGTGGATATCCTAATGCCTCTGTGGTGTGAGCTATAGATTGGTAGATTAATAAAATGATGCCGGGTAGATGTTTTCGTTAGGTGTAGGGAGGTGTCCGAGTTAAAGAGTCGTTAATTAAGCGCCGGGCATCAATATGTTACATTGCTGTCTAGAAACATGCCAAACTTTAGGGAATTTTCCTTCTGGAGGTGAAAGTGTTTAGTATTTACCAAAATAATTCTTACCTGTTGTTATCTTATTGTCTTTTCGGTTATCTTATTTTAAATGCGATAGCAACGCCACCCTTTAGTGACGGGTTGAAACATGAATATTGCTCTGTATGGCTGATGCTAGAGTCACTGAATGTTCCCAGGGTACCGAAACTCCTAGGCTCGAGGTGCCAAATGGCGGCTCAGTCTTTTTTTCTTTACTGTAGTGGCCATGAAATCTTAGGAAGCATGTTTTTGCGTAAAAATAAACGGAAGTCTTATTTTTGTATGAACTTTAGTTGGAGATTGGTACAAAATTACCGGTGCCTCTGCTTTCTAAAATTTCTAGTTTACAAGGTTTTGCGGCACAATTAATATTGTTTCTATACAACCATGTCTCACCGCTGGTTTCAGGTAGCGCGTCTCGACCTGGGCGCGTGCTAACGTCGGTATTAGGTTGGCATCCTTTTAACTCCCTCCATGTTTCGGCGCCAAAATGGGCAATTAAAGCCAGAATAGAAGAGTCGCGGCAGACTCTATCGAATACGATGCTCCCGAAACAATACAAGCAACCATACAGTTCTTCGGGTGGTCGCTGCGAGAGAAATGGTGGCGTTGTGAACGCTATTAGTACGGTTTTCGAGTAAGAATCGGTGCCACTTTTTTAAAGCAGGCTCAGTGACAGTATCATAACTGAGTTGTTCTAGTAACATTGGTCTCCGCGGACCCCGTAGCATACACCTTGCAGACTGAGTGGCTTCTATACGAACCCCGTAGGGACTCCGTGCAGACGCTGTATGACTTCCCTGCAGACCCCATAAGGACCCTGTGTAGGCCCTATATGGCTCCCCTCGGACCTCATAGAGAGTCCCTGTAGACCTTGGATGGGTTCTCTGCAGGCACCCTATAGACACCATATGGAAATGTAGACTCTCTATAGTGTCCGTATGGGCTCAATCGGGTGTCTCAGTATAGATTGGTTATTGGATGACATTACCTGGTCACTAGAATAGGACGTCCATAGAACGTCCGTTGGCCAATATTCTATAGGGCGGCCATAGTATGACTTCAGGAAGGCAGCAGTAGTCGTGGTCTACATATCGATGCCTTATGTTCTTCCTAGGGATGCTGCTCTACAGAACGTCCTCGGAGTGTCCATAAACCTGAAACTGGGGCAGAAAAGAGAACACAACAGAAGGTACCTTCTGTTGTGTTCTCTTTTCTGCCCCAGTCTCAGGTTTACAATCTGTTCAACTTACACCAGCTCGCCTGCACTCTGACTATGTTTTCGTTACTGGTGTTATGTGTGAGTATACTTGGACCCCACTAGTGCAAGTAAGCTTGTGTAAAGTGAAAAAAAATAAAACATTCCTAACCAATATCGTTGCACGGCCTCTTTGACACAGCTTTTTGAGACGCGTTCCAGGCACGTTACACCACACCGCAAATACACCAGTCTAAGCATACTGTGTTTACGATGTGGGTGAACTCTTTTTGGATACTTGTATTAGAAGTGAAGTTTCTCAATTTCCTGTGAAAGGTTTCTAATTGGGAATTGGTAACGACTTAAATAAAGTTAACGCGAAAGATGGTTAATTTATTTGTTAGCTTGCCTGAATAGTATTACGAACCGTTAATGTTAACTTTGCTCTTATTGCACACACCTGCTGTAATATACATCTGCTGTAATTGCTCCTATGAGATATTTCAAAACGTGCGACTGAATTTTAGTATTTTCTACCTATAACTGGAATCAATAAATAGATTAATAAAAATTATGTTAATTACGGTTTTGCGGATATGCACTTCTGGTAATTTATACGGCAGTACTTCGGTCAATACAGTTACAAGTTTTATACGTAGACAAAGATGCTTTAGTTGGTAAACTTCGGTGCAGTTATGTACCACAACTCGTACCACAACTTTACACAAAATCTCAATTGAGGATAACTATTGTCACAAGATCGCTTGCACCTGCCAATCAGAGTGAGACATCAAGAGCGAGAAGTCTTGCTGCGGTGGCGACACTATAACAATGGCCACCGAATGTAAATGTGTACAAAGTTAACAAAATACTCTAAATTTGGCAGGCGATAAGTTGCCCGTCAAATAAATTTCAATTTTGTGTGACGCTTTTTCGTAAAGCTGGAAAGTGCCGTCCTTCCTTATAAACTATAGTGGTTAACAATGAAGGTACGTTACCTTGATATCGATACCACCACGAGGTTGCAAGTGGAACGTCCCGAATCGTTCCAAAACGGCCTTCGTATCTGGACTGACATGAATTCGTAGTGCTGGAATAAAAATTCGTAGCGAACAGTGCACTGTAAGTAACTTCGAAAGTATAAATGCAATTTATGCCGCCAGCCCTTCACAAAAAATAACTGAAACACAATACTGCGGAGAAGATGCTTAGAGAAACAGTAGTGCTTTCATACCACAGCAGGAGTACAAAAGAAACGAAAATGTGAAAATACATAGTGTTTAATAACTTTTTCATACTGCGCCAGAAGAAAAAAGGATGAATACCCTGCCGAAAAAGAACAGTATAACTTATCACTATCTTTATTCTAGAACTGCGAATCTAACTGGAATTGTTTCTGTAAACCTGTCATTCAAATTGCAGACAAAGGAATGGTTTTTGAAAACCTGAAATACAGATCGAATCCATATAGACTTCCAGTTCCAAAACCGAGATAGCGAAACGTTATACTGCTTTATTTTTGCTTGGGTAGTATATCATCAATAAAATCTATTCGGTCAGGCGTTCCCCAGGGAAGCATCTTGGGCCCTTTTTTATTCAACCTTTACGTAAATGACATTGTAAATATCAGCCGATCAACGAAGCTTATCATTTATGCTGACGACACTAGTTTATTTTTTACTGGTGATACCGCCTCAGATCTCATAGATACCGCGAATGATACGCTAGAAAAACTAGCGAAATGGAGCAAATGTAACGCTTTAAAAATAAACATAAATAAGACTAAGGAAGTTCTATTTCGCCCAAAGAATAAACAAGTTGACATAAACAAGACCATATGTTTAAACTCTTCTAGAATTGAGTTAGTCTCTTCTTTTAAAACATTGGGTATTTTTTTCTCAGAGACAATGTCATGGGATGATCACGTTAACTACATTATATCCAAATTGTCCAGCATTGTTGGCTTGATATATCGTAATAAACACATATTTCCCCTTAAGGTAAAGTTGTTAATATATAATTCATTATTTTATTCCCATATAAACTATGGTCATCTCGTATGGGGCACAACTACTTTTACTAACTGTAAAAAAATATTCATTTTGCAAAAAAAGATTTTAAGAAGTATTTGCAAAGTCCCACTCGAATGTCCAATGGATTCACTTTTTACTCAACTGGGTGTAATTAAAATTTTTGATTTGTATAGATATCGCCTTTGCGCAAAATATATGATTGAAAAAAACATGCATGTACATCATCTTGAATATTTAGCGAATCTAACACAAAAAGTACACTCGTACCAAACGCGCATTCTGCAGCCCTGGCAAGTGCCTCTTTTTAGAACAAATTATGGCCATCATACTATAGCATACACACTACCGACCATCCTTAACCACCTTCATATGCACCACATAGAACTTGGCACGTTATTGGTGGGTACCTTGCGGGACATGATACTCTCTGGGCAAATCGGCCACGATTGAACGGTGCCTTTGTGTGTATTTTCTGAGTATTTTTATTTTTTTTTTGTAAAGGGGAATGTGCTTGTGTTTTGTGTATTGTACAATTAATTAACGTAGACTATTTTTCTGGGTTTTCCTTGAACGATGTGGGGCAGTGCTATTTTTTGTCTACTCTTAAATGTTGTATTTTTTGTTATAGTGCCTTGAACGATGAGCAAGTGACGTTATTCTATAGTGCCTGCTTATTTTCTTTAGTTTCATATATCTCATTGCACACTGTTCAATCTCTTTTTTGTTTAGCGTTCTCAGTGTATTTCTTTTTTTTCCGTCCACGCTGCTTGTAGCTGCTGCTTTAGGTGGGCTTAGAACTAGTCAAGCTGTACACACAGCTTTTTTCCAAAGCCCCCACCAACACTGTACCTTTCTTGTTGGAAAATAAACCTATTATTATTATTATATCCTCTATCCACATTCACGAAAATAATATGCATTAAAGTACTCAACGCCCACAAATGTTAGTGCTCAAATTAGGCCAGAAAAACGGAAGGTACAATCATTTGCAGGAGTGCACTATATAAAAAAAAAACAGCTGTCATAATGTTCCGTTGAGATAAACACAAAACCACGTAAAACAGGCACACAATTGTTCATATGTTTTTTAAAAGTGAGCACGGCTATAACATATTAAATTTTAGAGGTGGTTTAGCTTATCATTAAAAAAAAGGTTTCCCATTAGCAAGTTTAGCTGCGATTTACCGAATATAACTTACACACAGGTCATAATGATCCACTAAAGTTATAAAAGGTAGCAGGTAAAAAGCGTCAGGAGCCTGCCGAAGGCACCAGGCCATGTGATCGAATGTCATTTACAGCTCGCAAACGATGAAAGGTAGACGTAGTCACGTCATAAAAGTAATCATGTCTGCTTTTGTTTTTGTTCGTAAGTTTGTTCCCTCCCATCTGTACTTGTTCACTGCCAAATAAAGCAAAAAACACCGGTTCAACTTACGCTCGCCGTTTGACTCCATTCTTGAAGCGGTGTTGACTGTGTCACCGAAGAGGCAGTAACGAGGCATCTTTTGACCAACTACACCAGCGCAACAGGGTCCTGCACAAAACATGTGCATAAAGTGATAAATTTTTGTATCAACAAAGTTTGCAATACTTTTAACGTCATTTTCGCGAGGCCAAAGTAGTAAGAACGTAAGACATGAAAGCAAAACGCAAAAGCGACACGCAAAAGCGTAACGACCGTTTGAACAATATATACAGTTCATTTCTCCCTAACTCTGAGCGGGGCCGATGCTACGATGAAATATAAGGTACATAGTCAAGTTCTGATTCCAAGTATCAAAAATGTGTTTCGTAAACCAATCTGAAAAAAAAAAACGAAAAAAAAAACACAAGAAAACTAGGTGCATTGAGCCGAGCTCAGTTGACGATTTTTGCTCAGAGCTGTTCAGCTCTGGTTTGGTTAATTATGTATCGAAGATACAGATAACCGTCTGCACAGTGTCAAAAGCAGCGCAATGGAAAAGTTACCGAATATTCTACTTTCAAACAAAAAGTCAGTTAAACGGAGGACGATTTAAAATGACTTCGGATTAAGAACTTCATGCGGTAGCCACACGTTTTTATGTCTTGTTTTCTATTATAAAAATGCCGGTATTACAAAATTCCAATTCGGAATTTGCAAACGTCTGCATCGATGATAAATTTAATATTGAATTCTGCTAAAACGGGGGAAAATTAAAAACATTTTGAGACTTTTTTATTCCATTTTTGCAATAGATTAGTTTCACTTTGAAATGAAGGCGTACTACTGCGAACTGCGCTATTAGCAACGGTAGTCAAGACGCCAATTTTAATCATCGATCTGCCTACTTAAAAATGTGCAAGGTTATGAATCTTTTGAGTATATCACAGGTTTTGATTAGATAAACTGAATATTTGCAGGTACTGCATTTCACTGAGAGAAATAAAACGCAGAGCACGCTCTTTGCCAAACTCGGCAAATTAGCTACTGAAGAGAAATAACCGATGAAGTATCTATAATTAGGGAACACGGTAACGGTCCGTTGTATAATGATCTGCTGCAAAATGACTCCTGTGCGGCGCATACTCACCTGTATGCATGCCTATCCGGAGCTTGAGCGTGTCGTCAGGCCTGTGTCTGATTCGAAAGTTTCGCACCGCCCTGAGCAGGCTGAGCGCCATGCGGGCGACCTCTCTAGCATGGTTGTGACCATTCCGATCTGGAAGCCCAGACACAACCATGTAAGCGTCCCCTATGGTTTCTACCTTAAAGCAAAACAAAAGGATACACAGCAGTGAGCCAACCGAGGTCGCGCAATATCTGGCAATTCGAAGAGCAGCTACAAGCCTATCGCTTTTTCAGAGTACTTCACGAGTGTTCCTGATGATTGTAAAACGAACCCCAAAGTTTTTCGCGGTCTTAAAAAGAAAAAAAGAAAACCTTGCAGCGCCCACGGCGGGTCAGTCACTTCAACACACAGGAGGACAAGACAAAAATATTGAGACGTGGAATTTCCGTTTGCACTATGCATATAACGGCGGTCTCTTTGCAGTGACGTCAAATCAATACCAGGAGATACATAGGCTTTTTGACGGCTCTAGTCAGTGAAAACTTAAAAAAAAAAAGAAAAAAGTGAAAGCCGTTTACCACTCGCTGTAACGCCGAATTGGAGCACAGCTCTTGAGGAGGAGGAGGGAAGGGTACTGAGGGCCACGTGTTCTCGCCCCCCCCCCCCCGGGTCATGTGGGGTCATGTGGGGGCAATCACGTGCCCCCTCAGAGGTCACGTGACCTCGGGGTGTCACGTGACTCCCCAGGTCACGTGACCCCCCCCCCCCGGGTCACGTGACCAAAATTTTTCCACTAGATTTAGCGGGGAAATTTTTTCCGCTGGATTTAGCGGAAAAACGTTTCCGCTAGATTTAGCGGGGAAATTTTTTCCGCTATTTAGCGGGGAAATTTTTCCGCTAGATTTAGCGGGGAAATTTTTCCGCTAGATTTAGCGGGTAAATTTTTCCGCTAGATTTAGCGGGGAAATTTTTTCCGCTAGATATAGCAGGGAAATTTTTTCCACTAGATTTAGCAGGGAAATTTTTCCGCTAGATTTAGCGGATACAGAGTCTGCGGATTCGAATAGGATGCGGAAGGTCAAGCTGTTATCCGTGCAGGGCTCTACTTATTATAGGCAAAGCAATCGACTGTTTCTTTTGGTTCTTTAAAGCTCCAAAGGGGGCTGCTGGCGCCACCTTTCGTAGCTCAAACAAATCTTTACCGAACAACGCTTCTTTTCTCTACCACCAGGGAGAAGTTTGGGGTTCGCAATATTCGGGCGGCGGGAATTCAATTCGGCAAAAATGCGGTATTCACCGTTCGATAACACTGGGCGACAACGCCTAATCAATTTAAAATATATATAGGCGATGTGTCAACCGCTTAGAAACGTTAGAATTCATTTTAATTTTCAGAAGTATACCACATGCGTCTTGAAAACCCGTCACTTAGGAACAACGAAGTGAACAAGACACTGACAGAAGTTCGAGACCTGTGTTTGTGCTTCCCACTTTGTAGTTCCTTAGTCTCGGGTTTTCAAGATATTGTAAGTACACAAGGTCGCCTGCATGTTTTCTGTTATTTCTATCAAACCACATACTGTAGCAATCCAGAGCATTAAATTTAATTGTAAATAAGGTTGGATCGTCAGCTTGCTATCTAAACCCGTTTAGAAAGAGTCTCACGATCGATTATTATCACAAAAGCTGTTGAAACCTGCCATTATTTAAGAAAAAAGAACGTATTTCTTTACCTATAAAGTTGATACATAGATGCTAGACTGAGGTACTCGCAATTTTTTTACACGAACTATAGAGAGTTTCTTTGCTTTATAAAAATTTAACGCCACGTCATTGTCAAAGTGAAAAATGTTTGTAAGTTGAGTTGGGGACTACTGCAACCACAGCGCATATTTGCTCGAATGATAAAATAAATAACACGGTTCAAATTTAACGTCAATCGGCCATGTAGTGCTCGAACCTCGGGGATGTTCAGCGCAAAGATTCCGCGGTATGTTGGCGCAGTACTCAAAATGAGGTAATTATAAATTGTTGATGCCACGGAAGTAATGTACAGGTTGTATTTGGAATACATTTTAGCGCTCAAAAAACAGGGACAAAGAGGCAAGAAACAGACAGCACAGTGTGCTACTAACAACTGAGTTGTTAGTAGCGCACTGTGCTGTCTGTTCTCGCCTCTTTGTCCCTGTTTTTTGAGCGCTAAAATGTATTCCAAATTCCAAAACCAACTAGCCCAACAATCTACTCTACAGGTTGTAGCTTCTAATAGCAAGCGCTTAAAGTGTGGACATGCATGACAAATCGAGTACGTTCTTTGTCATATCTGCCTCTCGATTCGGTACCTCTTCACACTTTTTTCTACCTTCCGAGCCTCTTTTAGGACATCAACAGTCGTCCGCGCAATGTGAATGTTTCACGACTGAAGAAAATTCTTACTCACCTTATAGACGTCAAAGTCGCTTATCACGGCATCGAAGCACGTGTACAGATCGTTCAAAAAGTCTACAACCTAAAATAAAAGAAAGTCCCCCTAGTGAAACACTGGACATTTAAAAAAAAAAGCTTACGCTATATTATCTTGCTTCGTACCTGAATTGGAGTGCTGGAGGAACACATGGAGGTAAATCCGACGATGTCACTGAAGTATATCGTCACACTATCATACAACTCCGGAATTACTGCGTTTCCACGCTTCAGTTGCTCTGCAACCGACCTGTTGTGAAAGAAAGCTATTTAGATTTGAATGTATGAGAGCATGTCACTGTATGGCTGCGGCTATGAAATTTGAAGACTTTGAATCACGGATACACCAAGCTCTATGAAGATAAGTATAGATACATAAAATGAAGTTAATATATAGCGCGATACAGTTAACACAAACACGCAAATGCTGTTTTTTCATTTATTGCTCAGAGTCTTAAGAATCTCTACATAAAATATTGTATTGTCGAATATTCATCTGTGGAGCATTACCTAAGAATCCAAAAATTTGATTTTTAGCTGTAGGTTGCGCATTTCATATTCGCGTTTAACTGTCCTGGAGGGTGAAATGCAAACTAGGCGAAGCAGAGCGCATTATTACAGTATACGTCATGCAATAATATTTGAGATACGTCATGCCTTAAGTAACAGAACGGACTAATGTTCCAATAAACTTGTTGGCTAACCATTTCATGAAGGTGAGCTTGGCTACGTTTCCGGTAGCTGCATCTTCAATGACCGCGGTTTGTCTGGGGCGACAACGCGCGAAATAACACGCTGAAGCCAGCGACAATTAATCCTTTGCAAAACTTAGTGCTACCTGGTAGCTCAAATATAAGTTTAACTTTCGCTGTAATAACGCGGCACAAGTCACAACCATCGCCAACTCGATCTTCCGTGAACACGTCCACTGTTAACCCTTTCAAGTTTGTTGGTCTCAACTTCGTTGATCTTATCACTCTATGTAGGGAGACCACAGCGAAGCGCCAGGCTTAATTGTGGGCCCCCTACATAGAAAGTTTTTTTCGGTATGATTTATTCTTTCTATCCAACTTTTATACTTCATGACTGGCATATTTCCCCATTATACTCACCGGATATTTATTACACGACAAAGAGTTTTAAAAAAAGGAAGAATAAAATATATATGCCACCATAATAATATTTTTTAATATTTATATGGAACAGTTAGAGTAACAAAGAGCACATATTATATTATAGTTCAATTGAGACAACAAGAAAATTAAGCTTCAATTAAGATTTATGAAGCTGTAAAGATGACAAACATATTGCGTATGAATTGAGCAAAATAATGCAAGTCTTTGCTTCAGTCTTTTCTTTAAATATTTTATATGATTCAATGGGTACAACACACGTACGTGGAGAAATACTATTTACAAAATGTTCATTAGATGAAGTAAATATCACAGCCATTTTAATGTTTTTTTTATGCGGGAGATACGGGACGTAGCACAAATTGAACTGTTTGATATCTCCTGTTTTCAGTACTGGGTGACCGTATGTCTATTGCACTTTGAGCCAGCTTATCTTAAGACTATGAATTAGTTTAACCGAAGCGCAACATAATGTTTTTATGATAAAAAAAGCTTTGTGATTGTTAGAGTTTATACCGATCGTAATGATTATAAAACAGGTCTGACTGTTACAAGTCACTTGATACATTTTTTTACATATTCATGCGCACTGAAAGAGAACTGTATTGCGGTTATATATATAATTTTGTACAAATTAATTGCGCGATGTTCGGCAGCTAATTTTACCCTAAACAGAAGAATACTATCTTCTATAATTTTTTTATGCCTTTCCTTTTCTAATAGCTTAAGCTTGGCCACTTCTGTGGACTGATAGCGTTCTTAGTTTATTGTTAAATGTATTTTTATACCTATTTCTAAAGAATAATTTGTCAGTGTTATATTGAAGTAGAAGCAGCAAGCAAATATTTGAATTAAGTTTCTTATTGTAGCCACCCACGGACCTAGGGAGGACTTGGTAGAGTAACTCTTCTGACTTGCGCTTTTCTTCCAAAAATGCAGCCGTTCTCTGCTCCACAAGAACCTCCAGCTCATTGGCGTATTGCTCCATGCGAGCCATGATGTTGTCCATTATGTTGACTTCTCCATGGTATCCTCTTGAAAATACAAGACCACAAATAAATTGACAGGCAGTTTTTTTTTAGAATGGGATACATGATTGTTACTTCTTGAACTTTCTGGATTACACTTTTTTTTTCTCGTCACTACCACTTTGAATAACATAATTTTCTCGCCGGGTGAGCAAACGAGCTTAGTGAGATAATACTGATGTGTAAATTAATAGAGAAAAAGTAAGACTTTTAGAATACCTGGGTAAATGTAACTACAGTAACAACTTATAATACCTGGGTAAATGTAACTACAATAAAGTACCTGGGTAAATGTAACTACAAAGTAGTGTCTAATGATTTACGTGTGCCCACGAAATACAAGTACCCATGTATTTATTAGCCACTGTAACTGTGCGTTAACTAACATTTTTAGTGAATTTTATCTATTATAGAAAAATTTTCTGTGGGTGTGTTACAGGTATTTCTAGCAAAATAAGAAATGACTTGTACCATGGGCGGGAGGGTACTAAATAGTTCACACTAGGACATCTCAGTTGATACATTTCCTAACACAAACGTTTTATATTTCAAACAAGGTGAAGGTAAAAATATTACAGACGGTTACGCTTCTCTGTAATGCGAAGTTTGAGGGCAGCATAGATAGGGTGTTTCACGAAAGGTGGACAAATTCGATATTATGAAAACTACGCATCGCGCCAACGAAAGACTTGTGTCGATATCGTTGAATGCCAGGTGTTTATTTAGTAAAATTATTAGAGTTCGGGATAACTAAATTGCAAATTAGTTTGGAGCTATTTTTTTAAATTGAATTTAAGGGCATGGTTTCAATTATAAACTTGCTGCTGAGCATCATCGAAAAACACTAAATCAACAAGTTGGAGAACGATGGAAGGCACGCGCGGTATTTTACGGCATTCTGAAAAACCGCGCAATTTCGACGGGTTTTTAAGTTTCGGTTTGCAATCGGAGTGCTTCTCGGCACGGACGGCACCGCACCCCGTAGAGAAATAGTGCAACCAACCTCTGCTGTGCTGTCCTTGCGCAACGCAGCAGAGGCTGGTTACACTTTCTCCACGGGGTGGGGTGCCGCCGGTGACGAGAAGCGCTTTGATTGCAACCGAAACTTAAAATCCCGTCGAAATTCCGCGGTTTTTCAGAAAGCCGTAAAATACCGCGCGTGCTTTCTATCGTTCTGCAATTTGTTGATTTAGTGTTTTTCGATGATTCTCAGCAAAATTTTAGTTGAAACCATGCGATTAAACTCAACATATAAAAAAATACGCGAAAATAATTAAAAGTTTAATTATTCCGAACTTTAATAATTTTCCTAAATAGGCCCCTGGCCTAAGACCAAAACTTCACAAGCCTTTTTTTTTGGTGCGATGCGTATTTTCGCAACATCGAATTTGTCCAGCATTCGTGTATGTACACGATTCTTTCTTTGTTTTGTTTTGTTTGAGGCTAGGCCAGGGAAAACAAGGAGGGCACTGTGGGAGCCCCATAATGCAACGCTCGCGGTGTTTCTTTTAACATGAAGCGTTTTTGGTTAGTTGCTCCGGATTTCGTGAAGCCGTATCTCTTGAAGACGTGGCCTGTGACGTCACATGACGTCACAGTTTCCCCGCCAAATTTAGTTGAAAGATTGACGCCGCGCGACCTCAACTCCAATTCAATTTCCCCATAGCGGGTAAAATGATGTCACGTGACTTCATGTCACATGACAAAGTCGGTTTCCTCGCGATATTTAGTGGGAAAGCTGACGCCATATGACCTCGACACGAAATCAATTCCCCGCTAAATTTATCGGAAAAACTAAATTTGTGTTTAAGTCCTGTGACGTCAGTTCTGCCTCTAGATTTAGCGGGGAAACTGAATGCACAGTGTAGAATTATAGGACCCCGAAGGAAAAATCCATCAATGTAACCCTGTTTGGCAGTCAATGTTTTCTAGTGGACCGCTGACTGTGCCTGACTGTACGTCAAGCATGTCTGATTGGCCAACAAGTTACTCTGACCGACAGTCGAACTCCAGTCAGACCCCGCTTGTCGGCTTTCTGATGGTTTCCTGGTGGCAGTCGGCCGCCGCGAAATGCTATCAGGATGTCTTGGTGGCGATTCTGACTGTACATCGATTGTCTCTGACTGTACGTCAAAAAGCTTTGACGTGCAGACAGACGTACGGTCAAAGGACGTAAAGTTTGTTCGGATACCACTATTTCGTCAAATCTATGAATACGAAAAGTAATCTATGCACCGAGAAAACGATTTCGGGACGTGAGCCCATAAAACCGCTGACGTTAGAGAAATGACGAGCAACCGACCGACAACCTTGATCAGAAGCCCGCCGAAGCGCCGAACAGGCCAAACACGACACTTCGCTTCGCCCATAGAGGCTTCGCCGAGCTTTCATGAACGATCGCTCTCGACTCGTTTTGTTTGCCCGCTTGCTCCAACCTGTCGATCCTGCCCGGGCTCTACAATGTCTTATGTTTTAGTAGAATTTCTACTCGAGAAGACCCAGCCTGTTGTGAGTTCCGACGATGTAAGGGACTTTAGCGGTGTTGTTGAAGACGACGAGGTGTACCAGGTCTACTGGGCCGGTGACGCGCGAACAAAAGGATCGTTCTACGACGCGAAAGTACTCTACATGGCAGGTGAGTAGAACTGAAGTACGGCGAGTGATGTACGAGTGCTTTGCATAACATGCTGACGGCTTAACTGCATTTGCAACCGAAGCATCTCGTACAAAACGGATGGTGAAATCTAGCTCTCTAAGAAACGGCGTAGCATAGCGGTTACGGTGTCCGATTTGTACGCAAGTGGTCGCGGGTTCGATCCGTGGTGGTCCTGCTTTTTTTTTTCTTTTTTTTTTTCTCGGACATTTTGTTTTATCGAGGCATTTGGCGATATTTGTGAGTGCGTATAGCTTTACTCTTATATAAATGCTGCCCTTGTTGATGAAATTCCCTTGGCAGTGGCAGTCAGACGTCATCTGATGGACCATCAGATGACGTCTGATGGTCCATCACGTTCCACCAAGGCTGCTGACTGGCAGTCAGTGTCCCAAATTACGTAGCTTGATGGAATTTTCAATAGGGACATCACAGACTTACACACCAATTTAGTTTCGTCACTAAATTTTGCGGGGAATTAAATAGGTGTATAGGATTGTAACGTACCATAATGCAACGCGGGCGGTTCTGCCAACGGCGACGGCGACGCCGACGCCGCAATACGCGGAAACGGGCGCCTAAAAGCTCAGCTCTAAAATAATAAAAAAAAAAACTGGCGTTAGTATAAAACACCTGAGATAAAGTGTCGTTGCGTAAAACATCTTGAGAGAAAGCGCGCCGATCCTCCAGAGAGGGGCTCGGCGTTGCAGACGAAGACGGTTCACCGGGAGCATTTCTTGAATTGCGTTTTCTGCGGCGCAAACTTAGCTGGTGTACATTAATTGTTTCTAAAGTCTCAATATTTCACAATGTAAAACACATTTTACAACAAGAGTTTTGACCACGCGGACGACCTCATTTCATCTAGCGATAGTAGCTGGAATGGGGTTTAGAAGGCAAAAGAAAGAATCGCTTAAAAGTTTAGCATGATATATTTCTCAAATTAATGAATTAACAAAGGTATCTTAAACGAGAAAATTTTCGATAGAAGTGTGCCTGGTTGCAGAAAACAAATAATTTAGAAACCAAGAATTCCAACCAAAACCGAAGAAAGGTTCAGCCCGACGTTCCGAAAACCAGCTCGGTTTGTTCATCAGGGGTGACTAAATCGCGTGGAGCAACAGCAGCGTTAATCTTCTTAATTGCTCACAACTCGAAATTCCTTTCTTTCCTCTACAGATGGCTTCTTGTTCATTGCCGTCGTCCAGTGGCGAAATACATGGACGTACAGCAATGGCGATTTAGCCACTTGTTATGAAGAAATCGAGCAGATTTTAAAACGTCGGGCTGAACCTTTTTTGAGATTTGGTTAGAGTTCTTTTTAAATTAAAGGTATCTTAGTGTTCCCTATAATTCTTCTCAGCTAACATCTTGATGAAAGGCTGTCCCCACAATCATTATCAAATTGCCTCGTCATTGTAGTTTCTAAAAAAAATATTTATGGAGTGAAAATGTGGACGAAGTTTTTGTGAGTACATGTGCTATGTCCTTTTTGGTACAATTAAGTATAGCTGTTACTTACGATTATCTTTTGAGTACATTTTACAAACTTGAGGGTGAATAATTTTTTTAGTCAATGACTAAGAATATGTATATTTTGTAAAAACATCGTCATTGCTTTTACTGGCGTGTCTGCACATTAAACTCATCGTTGTGCATAAAAAGGTAGCAGGAAATAAAATGCAAAGAAAAACTTAAGAAATAGCTACAGATTGTAATGGCGATTGATACATTTTTCGAGGCAAAGATACCCCATTTCACCCCATTTCCTGTGAAGTTAATGTCAAACAACACAATTTAAGCAATGAACTTCGGAACTGTGAATTATCAAGTACTCAAAAAAAGCACTTGGTGGTGCACTCGACTGTCTCTCTTTTGACTTCATTGGATTCGCGGAGCCTATCGCGAGCTTCAACTACATATTACACGAGGCTTATTCTAAAGCTGAATGATACCAGTTAAACAAACTGTGGTTTTGCCGCTTACGTTTCCCGGGACCTGTTCGCCAGCGTCGGTCTACTGGAGGCACCGGCGAGAGAGTCGCCAACACTTAAGAACCAGTTCAAACCATCACACGGTAACAAAGATCTCGAGAGTATCTTGCGGTGCATGTCTGTAGGTGAGTCCGATCACAAGCGGAATGTACCAAACATATTTCATAAAGTTCTCATATTCACCATGAGGTAAACCCTCTGACCACAAACAAACGATCGTCATTCTTTTTCAAATTTGCTTGCTTAAATTGAAAGGCTGCTCCAAAACTTACATGTGTGACTGAAGGTATTCATCCTGGAAACTAGCCTAAACGGTGAGGCGCCTGTCTTCACTATGACTAATCAAAATTCAGAGAATTGCCAATGTTGTAAATGAGCCAACAGTGTCGCTCAGTGTACATAGTGTAGGATCTGCGGCGTCCGAGCCGCCCACCATTCACGCCAAGACAAGTTGTAAATGTCTGTTTACACCTCGCCATAATGCCAACAGACATTACAAGAAGCGTTACGCAAGGTTTTCTCAAATGAAGGTTGTTATGTAACTTATGCTTTGGTTAATGACAGAACTACTTGTACGTCACGTGAAATTTCTTGATGCATTTTTTTAGTAACATATTATGAGTTAACGCGCAATATTTGATTGTGAAGTTCTCAGTCCTTTTGGCAAAAACGAAGTATGTCGAAAATTGCACCCTTGGAATTGTGGGCCTGAGTTTTGAGCACGTTACACCTGAACTCTCAGATTCAGCATGGTGAGTGCCCATGTGATGATTTCATAATGTATAGCGATATGACGATGCAAAACAGATTGTTGTAAGAACGATGTAAGTATGGATATCTAAGCTCTTCAACTTTATTCAGCAATTAAATTCCATCTAAATACTTTCTCGTCGTGTGCACCTAAATCGAGTACTTCTGTTAACCTGTGCCTTCTTAATTGATTAGGCTAGTTAATAATTACGCATAAAGAGAAACAAAATAAATTAATAACGTCCACAATTTCGGCAGTCTCTATAAGTTGCACCTAACATTAAAAAACTCTAGTTGTGCTTACATGTTACAATTTCTACTCGGCACCTCAATCGGCACATTAAAAATGGAGTTAAAATATACATAATGAATAAAAATATTATAATATTATGTCCCCTTTTGTAGAAGCGAGATGTGGTATTTTTAAAAGGCATGAAAAGCTTTTCAACTAAACCCCTTAATCCCAGAAATGTTTCCCTCCGTCCATCTGTCAGCACATCTCCCCGCTATATTGAGTGCAGCATTTGCCGGCACTTGAAGTCAGCGTATCATGTGAGAGCACGACTTCAAACCGCGACATCAAAAAACGGGGTCACGTGATGTGACGTCGCGATTTTACGTGACTCGACGTCACATGACGTTAGGCCACATGACACTAATTCCCCACTAAACGTAGCGGGTAAATTTACGTTACGTGACGTCACCTGGTCTGACGTCCTGGCGACTTAACATGACAAAACCGAGGTCACGTGACCTGTCGTCGTGAGACGTCAGATCATGTGATGTGACGTCCAAGTGTCAAGTAGGAATGTCACGTGTCCGCCCCGTGGCGTCAGGTCACGTGACATCAATTTTATCACTAAATTTTGTAGGGAAATTAACAAGGAACATGGTATTCACTCCCCAACAGGACTGTTCACATCTAAACAAATTAAAACGCTCTACCAACTACTGCATTCCGTGCATTATAGCACTTTGGAGACAAATGTCGCTGCCAATTTTTGTTGAGGACACGCTGCCACGAATCGCCCCTCTTCACCGTTACCTGTTGATGACCCTCATCATGACCTTGATGTGGTTGAATGTGGGTCGCTCGTCGGGGTCCTCGGCCCAGCAGCGCGTCATGAGCTGGTGCAACTCGCTGATGCACGCATCTCGATCCACCACAGGCCGGAAAGGAGGATCCTCTGGTGTTATCACACGAGCCACGATATCTGCGGTAAAACGACGAAGAGATTAAACTCCCTGAAACTGCAAAAGAAGGTCACAAAAAGCTGAATTTGATCTAAAAGTAGCAAGAAGCTTTGGGTGAAAGTAAAATTGGGGTCTGTGCAAGCTTCTAGTATCTATTTGCCGCAAAATCTTATTCATTCGTAAGTTTTCAGTTGAAATTGGTTTGGTGTGCACATGCATCTTGCTTTAAGCTATTCTTTTTTTCTTTTGCTCTCGGAGGCTATTTTAAAACTTAAGTATTTATAAAATTTAAGTAAATCAGTCTATCAGCCCTTCAAAATATCTTAATACGAACATGGCAGGCCCAGAAGATTTTGAAGTGTACAATGGTAAGTACAGTAGTTGGAACTGCTTGTTTATTACGTAGACATCAGAGAAACATTTGAGATATTTTTTGTCGTTTATTTATCCGTTTTGTTAGGCCAAAAGAGTGATATGTTAGAGATATTTCGTCAATATTAACCACGTGGTGTGTACCTGGAGCTTCGCCCACTTTATCTCTTCTCTTTCTGTGAGCGCTTGCTTACTGGCATCTATACATATCTCTGCCACTAAAAGGTGCTGCATTTTTAACCATGAAAAAGTCGAACAGATATTTGGGCGAGTTGGTAGGAGTTCATATTGAAAATCAGCAAGACTGGGACGAGGACGCAGAGAGATACACTGAACAAACGCTGACTAGCTAGTCAGTGTTCGTCCGGTGTATCTCTCTTCTATGTGCACGTCCAAGTCGCGCTTTCTTTCACAATCAGGAAAATTTGGTAATTTTTCTAAAGATTCTTTTAAATCGGCTGCTAATTTACTGCCTTGTTTTAAGCTAGATGCTCTACAAGCTCACAAGTGCCTTCCGCAGTATTTAGACAAGTTTTGTTTCTGATTGTACATTTAAAATAATGAAATTTGTGTCTCTGTCCTGTCGTAATTTTGAGCTTGTGTTTTCGGCAGAAATAAACAACAAAACGATAACTTCAGAAACGTTGAACCTTAGTAGTCGGCGGGATTTGCATTGTCGTCTGCTTACAGATGAGATAATATGTGAAGTAAGCTTGTTATTTAAAGAAGTTTGTATGGCAATGAACGTCGTTCTCGAGAGCGGGCACACTTCAATCACCAATAATTACGGATTGCACGACAAAAGATTAACCGAATTGAAAGGTGACTGGCTCTAACCTTTTTCCTTCTTACTTGGTATTTACAATAAAAGACATTGTGTCTTGACGAAAACATTTAACAGAATTATATCATTACTCTGCTCAAAAGTTCATACATCCAATGAAAATTTTGGGATTTTGACGTCACCTTCTTGGAAAAAAGCACAAGTCACTTTAACGTATATTTTGAACGAACGCATTAAATAGAACACACTGTAAGCATTATTGTATGGTACCGGCAAATATCTGACATGTACCAAAATAATAGGGGCTGGTTTAGGCAAAAAATACCAAAGCGTCTGAAGACGCTATCTACCTGTGCCATAATTATGATTATGGGGACAATAGGTTATTTTATCTTGACGTTAGTTTTCTCTTCCTTAAGTCAACAGATCTATTGCTAAATTACCCAATCATCAAGTGGAGGGCTGGGAATGTAGGTACACTCGCCGCAAGCGTTCGCTATGCCGGTGTAAAAGATTCGAAGTAAATAACCAAAATAGGGCGACGCGCCTGAAATTTGTTTTAGGCCTTTGCTTCAGAATAGTTACCCACTGCAGACGGCAGCACGTGCGGCGTGTGAAACTACATTCCAGCGTGCTATTTGGTTCTCGGGCAATTTAGCAAACGGTGTATTAAGGTGCAACCCCACCCTTGGTTAGTCTGATTCTAAACCAACAGATGGCGGTAGGATCGCCTTCCAGGCCTGTACATCAATGCGAGAAATCGAAAGTGGTGGCGCTTCAATACTGTTTTTTTTTAATATATATCCTGAATTTGACATCCCTGGTCCTTCGATTGTTTTTCTTTGCACGAGCTTTCTTTGGAACGCGCACGGCTGCTCCAGTTCTCGTGCGAGGGAGCCAGTTGCCTACGCTCCGAGCTCACGCCTCCAGCAAATGTGGTCAGTACAAAACGCGAAAATCGTCCGTAGCCAAATGCCCCTGAGGCACATGCACGACAAAACAACCGACGCGTTGAAAAATATAAAATTGCCTGTGCGCCGTTAGCACCCCGCGGGTATTTGAAAGGCCAATTACACATATGTCAATGTGATCAGATTAATGTGACGCGTCGACCTTTTTGTCGTGCATGTTTTTGGCTCTTTGTCAATTTCCAGGAAAACGTGATGCCGTGATAGACTTGGGTTTCCAAAATTCTTGCTTGAGGAATTAAACACCTAAAAATTCAAAACAAATGAACTATTTTTTGGGGGGTCAGGTGTCTCATTTAGGTAGCTGGCGGTTTATTTTAACCAAAACCACGAGACCGGAAAAACACATAATAACACTCAGGTTCAGATATTGAGTTTGGTAAACCCAAAGCCAAAGGACTCGTGCGGAAGTAATTACAAAAAAAAAAAGAAGCAAAACTTTCGAAAGTTAAAAATAAACTCCCCGCAGCAATACAAGACAAGAATTAATTTTAATACGAGTTCAGTGATAAATTCAATGACTGGCCAGGCAAAGTTTCTGGGTTTATTTTTTTTTTTTGTCATTGTAACGATGGTTGAGACTATATATATACCGGAACACGTTTTCAATAAAATTCAGTTGAAAGTTGCGCCTTGTTGTGTTTTCTTCTCTGCTTTTGTCCTCGTCTTTGTTGCGCACAAGATTGTATAAGCTGTGGATAGATTTTGCACAAAGTTTAAGCAATGTGCCAGCCTTAATTTGGTGATTATTATGCTCAAGTAGTGGTGTGCAAAAATTAAAAAAAGAGGCACACGAGTAATTTTTGACGTTGTATAAAATGTAGTTTAAGCACGCACATGGTACGCTAATTAAGGCTGAACCAGCGCTACATTTTACACTAACGTTGAGCGTATCGAAAGTTAAGGGAGCATTCAAAGCTAAAGCTTGTACACATATACTGCTCAGGCTGTGCTGTTTGAATGTTCATAGTACCTTATTACTCTCAGATTTGGTATAAGTTGTCTCCTCATTGCTTACAGGAGAAAAAAGGAAACATTCTAACTCTGGGCTGATAGAAAAACTCCACATGCTGACGGCTATCAATAATCTCGGCGTCAATTATGAGTATTAACAGCATGCCAACGGTCGCGTGCTTAGTACGAGTTTTTCGCCCGTGATTTCATACAACCGCTATTGTTCTTCACAAACAACATTGTTTACTCACGCATGTGGCACATGCCAAGTTTGGATTATTTTTTATTGATTGTGGCACACATGGTAAGTAGCATAGATTTTTTTTTTAAATATGCGAAATAGAATGCTCCTGGTTACCTTGGTCCCTAATGCACGTAACACAGAAAAGAGCACGGGCTAAATCGCAGTGGGAGACGAAAACAATAATGATAAACAAGTGTGTAATCCCGGGAAAACTGAGGGCTATGCACATATGCGGAAGGTTGTGGCGTTCGCCTTCCGCCGTAGGTGATCAACCAGACGACTCGTTCCTCGAGGTCAAACAGGGTTTATTACCATGACTCTGGTCCAGACTCGGGGCAACAACTGCCCTCGGCCACACGGGCCATCCCTTTTCTACCCTATCGGCGCCGGGTGCCGCCCCCCCACTAGTCGCCGGTTTGGCCGCCGTGTGGCGGGCCGAGCGCCCCACAACTCCCCCCCCCCCCTTTTAGAGGTCGAGGTCTAAGATGGCCTCCTCGTGGGCCGGGTCGCGGAGCAGATCCGGGCGGACTTGGCGGAGGATCCGGATGGCTTCCGCGACCTCCAACGGGCGGGGGGCTGCCGGAGGTGCAGCAGGAGGTGGCGCGGCTCGGCGAGCCCAGTCCGCCGCGACGCGGGCCTGGTGCAAGGCGCCCGCCAGGTGGGTGGGGCGGTGGAGCTCCGGCACTCCGCAGACGAGGCACAGCAGGCGGCGCTCCGCCTCCTTGTATACGGTCGCGGGCTCGTGCGGGTGCCGGTCCTCCAACGTGTTGCCCCGGAAAGGCTCGGGGACGGACTCCGGGGGCGCGCCACGCTCGGGCCGGGCCTGCTCCCTCCAGCGTAGCGCTGAGGCCGACCCCACCGGGCGGTCTTCTGCCAGCACAGTCCAAGTCGCGACGGAGGCACGCTCAAGACGCGGCGGGAAGCGTGCCGCCAATCGCCTGAAATGATAGGCGTGGCGGGAACGCTCTTGGTGGCAGTGAGGATCCTGCGGAGGAAATAGAGAACGGGCGTAGGTTGTACCGCCTGGGCGTAGTTCCGTGGTCCAAGGGCTGGCTGGGAGCTGGGATGTCCGGGACCTGCGGAAAAACTGCTGGCTCGCAGTAACGCTTGAGCTCAGACACGTGAATTGGGCCGTACTGCTGTGTACAATGCAGTCGTGCTAGGCGGTAGCTCAGCGGGGAAACTGTTTCCGTTATGCGAAAGGGTCCATCCCAACGGTTGGCGAGGGATGCTGCGAAGCCTTTCGACGCATCGCTGAGGGGATGTGTCCGACGAAGTACCAGGTCTCCAACCTGAAAGTGGACACTGCGGCGGCCCTTGTCGTACTGGGCGGTTTGTTGAAGACGAGCGACGTCGAGGTTCCCTCGTGCTTCACGAACGGCCGACGAGAGTCGGTGATGGACGTCCTGGGCGAACTGCGCGTATGGGCGTCCATTCTGCGCAACATCTGTGTATAGAAATGAATTTTCCATTGGGAAGGTTAGCTCCTTACCAAAGTTGAGACGGGCAGGCGTGAAACCAGTGGATCGGTTGACCGTGGTGCGCGTTGCAAATGCCATCTCGTCGAGTTTGGCATCCCAGTCTTTGTGACGGGCTGTGTGGGAAATCAACATCATTTTGAGGTTGCGGTTGATCCACTCCGTGATGTTGGCTTGCGGATGTACGGCGAAGTCAGCTTGTGCCGTATTCCAAGCGCAG